GGCTGACGCCCGCAAAACGCGCGTTGTAAGGAAAATCTATAAACGCGCGCTTGGCCAAAAGCGCGCGTTTGAGTGCGTATGCCTATGCAGAACTCTTGGTTCGTCAAACGCGCGTTTAAAAACGTCTAGTGTGTACGCAGCCTAATTCTTGCATTCTGTGAAAACGGGTAAGATTAGCTGTAATGTAATCTTAATCCTAATCTTAAATGTTTTCGAATAGTCGAAAATGTTTTGGAATAGTTGAAGACTGTTATGTGTGAGTAGTGGGAATGCCTTTTGGTGACGCACATGCTTCAGTTGATTTTTCATAAGTAAAAGTGTACAAATAACAGAAAAAAGTAGAAAGTGAAAAGTGAATAGTGAAGTGTGAAAAGTAAAAATATACAAAACAATGACAAAGCGTAAGAAAGAATTTTTGCGGTCTCGAATCCTATCTCAAAGGCAAAAGATGGCGCGGAGAAATGAAACCAAGAAAGAAAGAGAAGTACATCTAATATTGCTACGAGAAAATTATCAACGAAACAGAAATAATCAGACAGAAGAGCAACTTGAAAATTATAGGGAAACACATCGAATCAGAGAAAAAGTATGTAGAGGAAAAGAAACAGTCTTATGTATATGTATAAAAAAACTATATTACATATAAATGTACGAACAAATAAAAACCCAGCAAAGCGGGTACTTGCAGCTAATATATATATACAGTAGAACCTCGATTATCCGGACTAATTGGGGATGAAGGTAGTCCGAATAAGGAAAAATTCGAATAATCGAAACAAATATTTCAATTTGTCTTTTAATAATAATACAACACGTTTTCTTTTCCATGACATATCGATAATATTAACAGTAAATACTGTATTTAAATCGTGATCAAATTTTCAAGAAACAAACGTTCGTATTGAATTTGGACTACTACTGACCAACGCTAACAGACTACCTATTGCTTAAAAGGCCCTCTGGTGGCGCAAGAAGACGGATTTTATAAAATAAAAAGCAGTTGAAACTGCATTTTTATGAATAAAAATTTGACAAACTATTTATCGTTTTATGACGAGTAAAATTTTTTCGTCGCGTTCGCGGTTTTTAAGTAATGGATAAACCTTCGAAACGCAAGGTCCTTCGGACCGTGAGGCATAGGCGGTGGCCCACATTGCCCATGCCTTACGCCGCCCTTGGTCATAGAAATGATGTAATTTGAAAATAAATTATTTATAAATACGTATGTCAAGTTATATTTTTATTACGACGCAAAATATATTTAAGAGTTTACGACCACTGTGCCGGGTGAAACGTTGTTGAAACAAAAAAAGTTATGCATTCCATCACGTACATAAACTGTATCGTAATTCGCCAAGTGCAAATCAGCAAATAAGTGAAATTTTTGTTTATTTTGAACAATCCGGATAATCGAAAATCCGGATAATAGAGGTCCGGATAATCGAGGTTCTACTGTATGTATATGTATATGTATATGTTGCAATCAAAACCCGTTTTTAGTTAGAACGCGTTCTAGTTGAAACTAGTTTATACTGGATGTCTTTGTTAAAACCAGTTTTGTCTAGTTAAAATTAGTTTTAACTCAAATTCATTTTTGAATAGCAGTAAATTCTAGTTTTAACTAGACAAAACTGGTTTTGTCTAGTTAATTTACTGCTGTACATGTTTTAATTTTAGATAAAACTAGTTTTAACTTTTAACATCAGTTAAAACTAATTTTAGCAACATAAATATGTTTGGGGGAAATAAAGTTATGTATAGTGATTCGGCGGAAGATGCCTAACATTTTGCTTATGAAGGAAATTATACCGCTAATTTGGGGTTTGGAGCCCTTTAATGAAAATATCATATTCTGGAGTATGTTTTTCAATAAAACTTTGAAGTTTATTTAAAAAAAAAATTGTATATTGTGTTTGCAATGACAACTTTTTTACTGTCTGGCATTTTAGGCATCTCACTTCAAGTTAATTCATTTCTCATATTTAACCAGTTTTGATAAAAGTTGCAGAAAACCACTCGTGTCTTTCTAATAGGAAATTTTCAACTCTTTCAAAAGATTTAAATATACTATTTTTCATTATTTCCGATTATTTATTGTAATTATGCCTGTATTACTTTCGTAGTATTATTTTTAAACCAGCATTTTATATAAACTATGGACAATTTAATCTTCACATTTCATTGACGAAATATTTATATTATTAGCAGGAAACAACCAAACGTATGGAAGTTTTTGTGAAATTTTTGCGAAGACTTCCGTTCACCATCTGTTTTTGTTTCAGAAGAAAGTAAAATCGCTGATAGTTAAAAAGTAATGTAGGAGATTGTGTGAATTTTAATTATTACATTTCGATAAGTTCAAACAATTTAATCTGTGTATGATTTTCATCATATTTTTCTTAATCGTATAAAAATAAACGTTACATTCCAGATTAATTTCAATTAATATTAAAAGCGTAAAGAATTAATAAATTAATTAATAATAATCGTTCATATAATTATTAGAGAAGGGTTAATTTCAAAATTTATATAATGAAAAGTTCTGATGTGGAACTTTGGGGGGGAGCATGTATAGTTTCTTTTATAATTGGCTACTAAGACAGCACTTATTAACAGGACTTTACTGGTGTTCGGTTTCTGCAATTAAAAAACTTATTCAGAGAGAAAAAAAATCTTTATTGATCACCATGTATTTCGCCTGTACACACTTTCTTTGTGTTTCGGACCTTCAGGTCCTCTTCAGCAGGTTTACAAAAGCAATGCTAAAAACAAAAATTTATAGAAATTTACAATACTATATAACAAAGATTTACTGACAATACGTTCCGAAAGTCTGAAAATTATAAACTGCCGCACCTATCATACGACTTCTCGGCAGATAAATCCTATATAAATACTATAAATACTTATATAAGAAAATGTAAGAAAATATAAATGTATATATAAAATAATTATGTAAACGAAACAATAAGAGAAAAATAAAAACCTAACCTTGTAAACTAAACCGTATCTTTATTCTTTCTAAAAGCATATCCTTAAAAACGTTAAAAACTAGATTATAAATATCCTTATCAAATACAAAACGACGTATATAATTATCATCAACACCATGTACAGTACTGTACGTTATTCAAATACGTACTACGCGATCGAACTACTGCCAGAAGTGGACAATCAAACATAAAGTGCAATAAAGAGTCTATTGCTCCGCGTTCACAGAGATCAGAATTAACTAAATTAAACGCAAATAATTTTGACCGAAAGTCCCCATGTCCTGTTAATATTTGGCTAACATAGAAATCCGGAGTAACCCACTGCGCCCGAGTTCTTGCCTCCACTGTAGGAAAAAAATATGAATCTAGTAGATTTAGATTTTGTCCTAGATCAAAGGAGAAGCAAATGCCTCTGCCCAGTAATTGCGTGTATAATTTTTGAGCTACATTTGATCTCCTCTCTTCTCATTGTGTACAGTGTTGTACTATTGGCAATTCCTTTTAATTATGTATACGATAGTTCAAGAGTCCCTCGATATTAAAGAAACGACAAAAAAGTTCTTCATGTGACTAGCAAAAATAAATTTGTATGCAACTAATACCTAGAGATCAGGGGTGGATTTTCGGAAATGCGCAGGGCGCAGCTGCATCCCCCTTCTGATTGCTTTCCCGATTACAGACGAGTATATTAGGAAATAAAAATTTTGTAAAACGTCTTTTGCACCGCCCTCTAAAGATTTCTGGATCTGCCATTACCTAGGGTTTCCAGATTTCTACAACTGGATGGAACGTTAGACAATTGAAAAAACGCGAAAAACTCATATGGCCAGCCAGTTGAGTTGAAACGAAGTACCAATGTTCTATGGTTTTATTTACGTCGGCTACCGGTGGACACGGGGAATGTGGAAGATGAGCCATCTTCATCATATAGGTCTACAACACTACAAAGCATTTACATACACATGTCTAAAATTATCCACATCCAACTAATATTAATGATGGTTTATGTTTATCGAGTTTTGAGATGAGGCTGCCTAAAACACCATTAAAATGCACTTTCATTAGACTTATATCCTTACATTTTCACTCTTCTATTTTAGTTAAAAGTAAAATTTGAGTTGCCAACATTTGAGGACATGATACAAGTCAAATTAAACAGAAGCATTTAATTAATTATAGTTTTCGTAATGACTATAAATATTCGAGAATTTTAGATTAAATAAATAAATAAATTTAGAATTTAAAATTTTCCTTAATTTAATGATAACCACATCTTTCTGCGCCGAAGAGCGGTATAAAGATTGATATATAAGGATAGTCCGATATGTTAATCAATCACTACCATTAGCAAACACGGGCATTGAAAAATGAAAATAAAGGACAAATTGTATGCTTTCTCGTTTTAATAAATGACAATGGCAGTTTAACTAAAACAAAGGACGTTTGGCAACACTGGTCATAAAGGAAGAAGGCTGTCTTTCGACTTAGCCTGAAGGAAGGTGACTGAATGAGGGTGGGGTGGGAGGGAGAGTAGGATGGGTATAGAAGAGAGGATGGGATAGGTTGGGGGTAAGGGATAGCTTAGGTTGGAAGTAAAGGTTGGGGTAGGTATGGATCACAATGCCAACTTACATCGCGATTAATATAAAGTCAGTAGTACAACAGAATACAGAGACCAATCCGGAAGCAGGGTGTTACAACAAGAGCCGGATGCTAATATATACACCATCCTGTGGTTAATACAACAAATAGCTTATAATTAATACAACCGAGATTAAACAAGTCTTGCCGGAAGAGTTAAGTAGTAGTGAGGATACTACAACACTAGGGGTAAGAGATGACAGTAGTTACATAGCTGGTTAACATTGCAGATACACTTGCAGAGGGTGACAATGTACTGCACATAACCAAATAACTAAGTTGCAATCACACTTGCAGAGGGTGATCGGTTGCAACCTTCTTGGTTGGTGGCAGAAGGACGGGAACCCGCCCAAAGAAGTCCAGGGCTCAGGTTGCTGAGTTGACGGCAAAGATGCCGCAGTCCTTCGCAAATTTGTCGAGTTGGCTGTATGCCTCTTTGGTTGCACAGAAGAACTCCCATGGCGGAGGCCAGGTTGTACCGTTAGTTATACAGTAGTTTATGAGTGCATTCCTTGGTGTGTCATGATTCGGGCAGTCGGTAAGAATGTGACTGATGTCACCTGTAGTGGACCCGTCGCAGTCGCAGTGATCGTCGTTCCTCTTTTTAATGCGGTGTAAATAGCTAGGGATGTTCCCGTGGCCAGTAAGCACCTGGGTAAGGTGGTAAGAGGGAGAGAGGTAGTTCATACCCTGACGGGCTTTGATGGATGGGAGGAAGTTGAACGTTGTTCTTCCTGTGGAGGAATTGGTCCATTCTTTTATGATAATGGAGTTTAGTTGCTTATGGATGTAATTTAGGGGGAGCCTGCTGAATGATATATTTATGTTACTTTTAGCTGCTCTCTTTGCGAGGGCGTCGGCTGTTTCGTTACCTTGAATCCCGGCATGGCCAGGGACCCAACCAAAGCTGACCAGTCTCATTTTACTGAGGTGCCTTGCCATCTGCTGGATGTTTGTCCCAGTATCGGTTTGATGCTTTCTGTCATTGACGCTTCGAAGAGCGTACCTGCTATCGGTTATGAATTTAATAGATCCTTTCATGCATTTAATGTTCTTGATGACGTAGTTGAGGGCTCTATCCAGACCCCAGAGCTCCACCTGGTTATTAGTACAGAGCTCACCTAGCTTGTAATATTCCTCGTGTACAACCACCTTATCGTGGTTGTGATAGATAACCAGAGCTGCCCCTGTGCCATCTCCATTGCTGGCCCCGTCGGTGTAAATGTGCCAGTCGTAAGCCGGGTGATCCGTGTTGTCTCTCAATTCTATTTTGATACTGCTGTGTTCTGCTGGGTGGTGGAGGGTGTCCCATCTATTAGTGCTCCTATCAATCCCGTGTTTGACAATTTGAGCTTTCATCTCAGGTTCCTCCAGGCAGTTCTCATCACTCACATTGATGTCACAGCTATGGTCTGTCTCGTTGTTTATTGGAGCCTTGTTGAGAAGGTTCCAAAGACGGACAACACTCCTAATGTTTATGTGTATCGGAACCATGTTTGCAATGGTCAATAGCGCGTTCGTGGGCGCCGTGCGGTAAGCACGACAGACCCGAATGACGAATGAACGCTGGACAGATAGTAATCTCCTCTTGTTGCAGACTATGTCAGCTCTGTTGCCCCATACCTGTGCTGCATACAGCAGCGCCGGCTCAATTGCCCCCTTGTAGATAAGCCTGCTATGCTTTGTACTGATTCCCCAAGTGTTCCTCACTATGTGGTAAATCTTGTTAGCCTTTTGGCTAACTTTCTTACACAGCTCCTCAATGTGGCTATTGAAACTTAGGGTGGGGTCGAGGAGAACCCCCAGGTATTTGAGATGAGATGTAATTTTTATCTTGTAGCTATTGATATAAAGACAGGGGGCGTTGGAGCTGTTTGCAGTTTGATTTTTTTGTACAAACCAGAGCCTCACATTTTTGGTAATTAATTGGCAGGTTGTTGTCTTCGCTCCATTTGTGCACAAGTTTCAGCATTTCGTTTCCGTTACTCTGCAGGACGTTACTGTTCCGATGTCTGACCATCAGAACCGTGTCGTCCGCAAAGCCCTGGATCTTGGTGTCTTCCGTGTCGGGTATGGTGTTGAGAAGATCGTTATATACCAGATTCCACAACTCGGGTCCACTGCGAGACCCTTGCGGGCATCCCCTGTTCACCTTTATTGTGGTGTTGATCTTATTGTGGCTGAAGCTGGCCTCTCTGTCGGACAGGTAATTTTCAGTGAGGTGGTAGATGTTCTTTGGGCATCCCGCCCTCCTGAGGCATTGCAGGATGGAAGGCCACCAGAGGTGGTCAAAAGCCTTCCTGTAATCCACACTAATCAAAAGGGTATGCATGTCCTTACTCCAGCCTTCTTTGATGAAGCTTTTGACCTTGTCGATTGCCGCAATCGTTGATCTTCCTGGCCGGAAGCCGAATTGCTTATCATTCATCAGGCCTTTCCGGGTTAGGTGCCAGTTGACCCTGCCAATCAGCAGGCCATCCAGCACCTTCCCCAGGACCGGTAGAAGGCATATGGGTCTATAATCCCACTCCTCTTTGGGGCTATCAGTCTTGGGGATGAATTTGATACTGGCTATCTTCCAAGTCCTTGGGAAGTAGCCTTGAAGGAGACAGCTGTTGTATAACAGGACAAAGGCAATCGGTACTGCTTCGAATGCCTTTTTTATCGTTTCGGCAGTTATTTTGTCATGCCCCGGGGCTTTCTTATTGGCTAAAGTGTTTATTGCTTTCTTTACCTCCTCAAATGAGAATCATTTATCGTCCTCGCTTTTGTAGTCTTTGCCGACCTCCGTCCTGATTCCCTGATGATGGACTTTGTCCTTGTGCTGTCGTCTCTCGGGAAATGGAATTCCAGTAGCTTTTTTATATTGCTCTCAATACTATAACTATTGTTGTTGTTGTTAGAGCCGTCGGGTATAATGTTGGGGAGGCCCTTAGCTTTCCTTTTTTTTGAATACAATCTTATACGGTTCCCTCCAAGGGTCGATGGACGGTTGTCCACAGAAGCTCCTCCATGCGTTGGTTCTGGTTCGGTTGATGTTACTTTTGTAGTTTTTGAGAGCAGCGAAGTAATTTTTCCTCCGTTTGGCAACACTAATAATAAATGTAAGCAAGCCAATGATATAACCCGTTTCATTTCACTGGCTTGCTTATCCATCTGTATTAAAGTCGAGTTACCATGCAATGCTCCATTTTTCCACTTATAAATAAATAAAGAAATGCAACGAGTTGCGTAACTCTCCCCTGTTATGATGAGATTTTATTTTAAAAAAATAACCTTTTATATTATTAATCTCAATAAATACAATTGTTTGTGGCGTCATGGGTTATGTGATTATATTATTAAAATATTTATATTAGTAATCATTATAAAATTGCAAAAAAGCTTAATTTCGACAGTAGGGATGAATTTATTTAAAAAAAACAATATTGTAAATGTTAATAACGAGTAAAATCTTTTAAGATCGATTCCTCTCAAGATATCATACATGACCTGTCTATCTGCCTACCTATCGACACTAAAATTTCACACATATTGTACCGTACATATCTGCAAATGTTTGTGTATTACTTTCCTGGCTGTTGTGTACAGTACAGATACAACATAACAAAGGAAAATATCGAAATTATGTCAAATTTCAGTCTACGAGAGTTTTGTAAATTTCCACGTTTCAAACCCCCTGAACCAAAAAAAAGTAAAAAAAAATAAAGCAAAGAATTTCGTGAATGTATGTGAATGCACGCGTGTATTTTGGCGTCTGTTTTATTTAATATCTCAGGTTGGGATAAAGATTAAAATACGAAATTTTGCACGGTAACTAGTAAGGGTGCACCGATTAATCGGTAAGTAATCGGTAATCGGCCGTATCGGCCACTTAGCCGATTAATCGGTATTGGCCATTCTCCCCGATTAATTGGTTTCGATAATCGGCCAATTTTACATTTTGGTATTTTTGTTAGAATGTTACGTACAATGCTAGTAATAAAATTTAATAAATTTCTGTTATATATTTATTATTTATTACATGACAAACTAAATATTAAAAAAATTTTACTAATCAAATTATTCCTTTTATCGATACATATTATAAGTATAATATAACGTATAATATAAAGTTTAAACTTTACATAAGAAAAAGTATTAAACAGGTTAAGAAGAAAAATTAAATTTTTATTTGTTTTATAAGTTTAAAGTTTAAACATATAAAACAAATAAAAATTTAATATTTAAACTGTAAAACCCTTAAATTGTAATGCAGAAACATGAGAATTTCATCATTTTCAGGGCATAACCTATTTTTT